TGGGGCCCAGTAAGGGCCCCCAGTGGCTGAGATGGAGGAGAAGCGCCCGGATGGAAACAGCGACATCGCCAGAGAATCGGGCCGCCTTGCCCCTCGTGCAGGCAGCCTGCAGGCAGCCTCCCCTCTGGAGAGGCTCCGGGCCGTGCACAGACAGCCCCCCGAGGCAGTCACGGCCGGCCTCAGCACGCCCCTCGGAGCAACCCTGGGGACACGGAGCGCCCCGGGCTTCTCGGGGGGAATGACCGCCCCGGGCTACGCGGGGGGGGCCCGTGGAGGCCAGCTGGGGCCTGCCTCGGGGGGGCCGTCCGTGCGCAGCCCGGAGTCTTACCATGCCCGTGCTTGTGGCTCGTCCACAGCCGCGCGCAGCTGCGCAGGCTCTGGGCCTCCTCCTCCTCCCTCCTCCTCCTCCTCCTCCTCCTCCTCCTCCTCCTCCTCCTCTCCGTCTTCCCCTCCTCCTCCTCCTCCTCCCTCCTCCGTCTTCCCCTCTCTTCTCCTCCTCCTCCTCCTCCTCCTCCTCTCCTCGTCGTCCTCTCTCCGCCTCCTCCTCCTCTTCCTCCTTCTCCTCCTCCTCCCTCCTCCTCCTCCTCCTCCTCCTCCTCCTCCTCCTCCTCCTCCTCCACCTCCTCTTCCTCCCTATCCTTCTCGTCCTCCTATTCCTTTTTCTTGGGCAGGCCGGAAGGCGAACACATGTACCTGTAGTGTCAGTGGTGCCTACTCGCAGCAGGCGGGCAAGACAGACGCCTCGAGCTCGGCGAGCACGGACGAGAGCAGGCAGGCGGTCAAGAGGTCTTAGCACGAGCCGCCCGCGATCCACGAAGTCGCCAGGGGTCGCAGGCCAGTTTCCAGTGCCGCTGGCCGGGTACGCCATCGACCCAACCTGACAAGCAGACGAACGTGTGGGTGAAGCCACACCGACGGACCATCGTGAGCGGGGTCGCGAGCGCCCGCACGTGGTCCTGCAGGCCCTGGCTGGGGCCGGCAGCGAGGGCTCGACGCTCGACGCTCCGGGCGCCTCGCTGCCCGGGGGAGGGGGGCGGGGGCATCCACCACGGAGCTCGGCCCCCGCGCCCTCCTCCGAGGAGGCCCTCGGCTCCCGCCCCGCTGCCCCCGGTGCCTCGGGTCCTGCGCGGCCGTCGGCGACCGCCGAGAGCAGCGCTCGGGGGCAGCGTGGAGGGGGCCTGACCTGCCGGCAAGGAGTCCTGGACCCGGGGCCCGACCCCGAAGAATTCCGACCGCCTCGTCCACTTCGTCGCCCCAACGCGAGGCCCCCACACTGCAGGGTCGACACGACGGCCGTCGCAGCAGACACTCCATGCCCGCTGCCAGAGCTACATCAGCGCCGCCCAAATTCGGCTCTGGGACGAGCGAAGAAGTGAGGAGCACGCAGCCGTCGTGCTCGGCCAACGTGCCATCCGCCACGCAGGCCCTTGGCCCTCCCATCGCTGACCCCGACACCTCGGGTCCCGCGAAGCCGTCGAAGACCAACTGGGAGCAACGCGCGGGGTCAGCGAGGGGAGGGCCAGGCCTGCCAGGCAGAGTCCAGACCCAGGGACGCCAGCCCGAAGAACCTCTCCCCCACATGTGTCAGCATCGTCGTCACACGCCTGGCGTCGGGGCTCAGGGATCCAAGACGGCGCCAAAAAGGAACCTGCGATCCTCGTAGCTCTGATACAGAGATCGCGCGGCGCCAGCGCAGGCCCATGCCAGACCGCGGGCCACGAAGACTGCCTGGAGGGCTCGGGCGGGACGAGCCTCCAGCATTCGAAGGAAGCTGAGCAAGCAGCACTCAGCTGCGGCTCCGCCGCTGCCGTCGACTAATGCTTGCCCAACACGGGGTGCATCCCCGCCAGGTCCCCCGTCGCCACCCGAACCATCACCCTAGTATGTTGCACGCTCGGATGGGCAGTTACAAGCGCGAGGCTGCAGGGTCCGAGAAAGCCTGCGCGAAGGGCGCCAAGAGGGCGCGAGGTAATGAAGCCAAGGGCGCCACACTCGACGGCGAAAGTAGACCAGGCTACAGGTCTCCGGATCTCCATCGAGGTTTGCACGACGAATTACCAGCACAAGAAAGTAAGCTTGTCTTAGTGAAACCTTGCGAACAACACGACAAAGAGAGACCCTGAGCACACCACCGCCCTCAAATCCAGCTTCGACGAGGAGAAGACGAAGGAGGAGATTGTACATCACCGTCCGCAGTTTGAGGCGCGAGCCTACTGCACAGCGGACGCGTGCTGCCGAAGGAAAGCGCAACCATCGCCAGCAAGGGCGGTACATTGGCGGTCTTACGGTCGCACGGTACACGTCGCACATCCTCATCGCCCAGATCCACGTCCAAGCCGTATTTACGCTTGTACAGTGCCTTCGCGATTGAGAGCATCCTCTCCCAGATGACTATCCTGAATTCCCAATCCACTGCTCGACTCTCGATGCCCTCTGAATCCGTGAACTGGCGCTCGCCCTCATCCTCCCATTCCTCGCCCTCCTCAGCCTCTGCGCGGCGCGTGCCAATGAACTCTAGGTGTTCCAGCTCCACCTGCCTGAAGCTCGCCGTGAAATCGACAAGCGCCCTCAGTATCTTTTTGGCGCGCAAGCCGCCTCACCAACGGGCGGGCGGCCCCAGCCACACACCGCGTTTCCCACCCGCACATCACACTGCGCACCCATGCGGTGTACAAGGCCTTTGTGTCGATCGCCTCAGGCTTGTCGAACTCTTCGTGGCCCTCTATGTCTGACTCCTGATGCCCTTGTGTTTCAGACTCTTTGTAACACACTCCCTGGGTCTCGGTCTTCTCCTTGACCACGTTCTGGACGTACTCGCCGACACCCTCATCGCACTGATTCTGAATGGCAGCGTCGACTCCGACAATACCATCTCGAACAGCGCCTCCAGCCACTTGGTCCCCACCAGCGTCTCGGAGACCCTCTGCAGCCCAATCGGTCCCAGTATTTGGGGGATCACCACAAGCGCCTCCACAGGTAGCCTCGCCCAAACCACCACGGGCATTGCAGTTTTGAGGCGGCGGCACGGCGTCGGCGGAAGAGACCCCGTGCCTGGCCGTAGCTGCCCAGGCTGGCTCGTATAGAGGCACCTGGGCGGCGAGGGCATCGGCCACCTCGAGCTTCTCCACGGGCTCCATGCGGTCGATCTTCCAGCAGCTCGGCAGCAGGAGGCCAGGCGGAGCTCGCCTTGCCCAGCGCAGCACACTGCGGAGCGCCGCTCGCGGCGCATCGACTCAGTACAGGACGAAGGTGTGGACACCTCGGTCACCATGTCAGTGGCGTCCGAGGCCCGTCCGAAGAAGGGGATGGGACAGCGCGCCCAAGAGGCCGACCTCACTCGTGCCGGACGCGGCGTCGCCTGGCGCGAATGCACAGCTCCAGCGACTCCTGGTAGCCGCTTCCGGCGGCCGCGGGCTTCCGAGGCCGCGCTGAGCCCTGACCTCGCGGGCGGCCCCGTGGCGCGGCGCGGCGGCGCGCCCCCGCCGCGGACGGGACCCCCCGCGTACGAGAGGTCAAGGCTTTCCTCCTCCTCCTCCTCTTCCTCCTCCTCTTCCTCCTCCTCCTCCTCCTCTTCCTCCTCCTCCTCTTCCTCCTCCTCCTCCTCCTCCTCCTCTGGGGCCTCTGGCGTTGTGCAGAGGCCACGGCGGCCGGCCGTTTTTCCACGCCTCGGCCTCGCGGGGGGGGGGGGGGTGGCCCGCTTGTCACCACCCACCAAACCACCCCAACCCAACCCGAAGGCTCAAATTTTCCCTCGATTTCCAGTGTGGGTGGTCGGGGAACATTGAAAAACACATGGAACCCGCACCTCCCCCAACCCGAGATTCGGGTCTTCGGGTTGGGTTGGGGTGGTCTGGTAGGTTGTCAGCTCGGGCCCCTGTCAGGGGACAGTCGTGCGGAGGACGGCGAGCGGCGAGGAGGGCCGTACAGGGCAGGCATTCCCTGGGCCGGGCAGGGCATACGTCGCCTGGGCAGGGTAGGCATCGCCCGTGGGCGTGGCAGGGCAGGCATCGCACGGGCGGGGTAGACATCGCCTGCCAGTCCCCACGGGCTGGGGCCGAGGGGCGGCCAGGAGGGGGGTGATGGCTGCGCCGCCCTGGAAGAGTCATGCAACTTGGATCGTCGATCTGCTTGTTTTCGTCGCCCTCGGCTCGTCGTCGTTTTTTGGCCTCTGAGGCCGTTCTCGGGCCCTGGGGCCGTCAGAAACGTATCGGGGATGAAACACTTCCCCAGGAAGCCCCCTGGACGATTCTTCAACACTGCCTACAAAACGCTGCAATATTTTACAAGGGGTGTATAGGGTGGGGGGTATCCTGGCCAGGACCATGGTATCTCCCCGGATTGCAAGGCCCATTCGTTTTTTGTTGGGTCGGAATAACGGAGCTATTGCTTGGTGTCAAATCCGCCCGCGCTGGTAACGACCCCGCGGCTGGCCGCGGGGGCGCCCTCGCTCGGCTGGTCGGCCGCCTGCTGGCCGACCCGCTTCCGCCTCCTGCTCGCGTCGTGTGGTGCGGTGCCGTGCCGTGCTTCCTCCGCCTGGTATTGGGGCGGGATATAAATACCGTGCCGTGTGTCGGGTTTCGGCCCTCCGCCCGCTGGGGCTTCGTTCGGCCCATAGTGGCTTCGTTCGGCCCATAGTGGCTTCGTTGCGGCCCATAGCGGCCTGCTGCGTTCCCTTGCCCAATGGGGCCCTCTCGTCAGGTCCATAGTGACCACGTGCTGTCGTTGGGGGCCTCGCGCCCAATGGGGCCTCTTCCCTGGTCTATAGCGGCCACCTGCCTTCGGGTCCACTGCGACCACGCCCGCTGGGGTCCCATGTCCTGGGTGGCTCAGGGGAGCTTGCTGCGTTGTGCCCCTTGTGGCCCATAGTGGCCATCAGCTGACGTGCAGCTCTCCTCTCGTCCTCATGGCGCGCCGGCATGCAGGCGCGCGGGCTTCAGCTGGCGTGCAGCTCTCGCCGTCGCGCGGGATTCTTGCGTGCGCCCCGTGGCGCTGAGCTTGCGATGGCGATGCTTGCCATCTTGCAATCTGACCCTGTTGTGGGCGCGAAGTGGAGTGAGATCCAGTGCAAGGGCGCGGTTGATTGCCTGGCAGCCAATGGGCTGATAACGCCAGAAGATCTGGCCAACATTCAATTCGAGGATATGAAGGACGCCGACGGCGCGCCAGCGCTGACGAAGGGCGTCCTGGGGCGCGCTCTGAATCGCGCGACGGTGGCGGGCGCCAAGGCGAGTTCGCCGGGGGCCGCGGGGCCCGCGCGGGCTTCGGCGCGTTGTTTCGCTTCGGTTGCTGTAGAATCCTGGTCCCGCGCCGAAGGGCGAACATGTCGACGTCGGTGCGGGCCTGGCCCAGATCACCCAGAGGGACCTTCCGCAGTCCCTGTGGCCGAGGCTGCTGCGCGGCTTCGCCCCGGCGCGCTGGCGCGTTTCCACCGTTCGCTCAGGTCGGCGAAGACCGATGCGCTGGCCACCGAGGTACAGCACGCTATAGCCAGGGGCATCGCGCACCCGTTTATTTATACAGAGCTCGCGAAGTTTCAGCCGCTATGCGCGCGTGGCGCGGGCGGTTCTCCAGACGATGACGAGCCCGCGTCAAAAGAGGCAGCCGCGCGTGGCCAGAGCGCTCGGACGGGGAGCCGCGGCGGAGAGTCAGCCGCTACTGGCGCGGACGCCATGGGATCTCGTGCGCGAGCGCCATGCCCACAAACACGTTGTTCTTCAGGCGAGTCGACATTGGCGCCCGTCCGCTGGTCGCCGGCGAGAGCGCGCCAGCCCAGGTGGCACTGGATGCCCCTTTGCAGGGGCGGAAGGCCCAGGTTGCCTTGGTCTACGACCGCCTCGCGCGGAGGACGTGGGCCGAGCGTGCCGCCGGCGGCGTGGCAGGCTTCCAGTCCGCAGTTTCGCGCCATGCTTCGGCGCGATATTCTCGGGCGCGTGTCGGCGCGCAGGTGAACGTAGCTGCGCTGTCGCTTGGCAGCGGGCTGCTCCGCGCGGCGGAAGCGGAATGCGATCGGGCCCTTGGGCCGCGTCGCCGAATCCCCTTTTCTCGCGTTGCGCCGCCGCTGTCGCGCAGGTTGCTGCGCCGGTCGGCAAGGGGGCAGGAAAAAGCGCCGCGGCGGCGCGCGGGCAAAGTGCGAGCGCCGCAAGCGCCGCGGGCATCGCGGGGGGCGCCGCCGTCACCTCCTGGAAGAATGACCGCGAGACGAGAGCCGACGGGTGGCATTCCCGTGGTTTCTACAGCGGGTAGTACAACAAGCGCTCCTGGGATTCGCGGACGGTGCATTCACCTCAGAAGAAGCCGCGCGCCTGGCGCCCGCCGGAGGCACGCGCAGCCCGCGGCGCGCGGCGACGTGCGGGGCGTGCGCCAATGGGGATGTGCATCTCGAGCCACGTCGGCACTTGAATAACGGCGAGTGGGCGCCAACCGTGGCCACCGTCCCGTGGGGCCCGCAGGCGCTCGCGCGCGCGCGCTGGCAGGAGGGCGCCGCGATGGTGACGCGTCGTCCAGGGATTGGGCGCCAGTCAGCACTCGCGGTCCGGTTGTGACGCGAGGGCCGCCCGCCCGCTGGGCCAGGAGGCGCGCGAACGCCCCCCGGCAGGCTCGCGCGCTCGCGCTCGCAGAACGCAGGAAGCGACGGGGCTCAGTGTCGCCGCCACATGGGATTAGCAGGCGCTGCGCGCTGTGGCGCGCGACGCTCGCGGGCTAGCGCGCCCGGCAGAATGCTGCCTCGAGTGCGCGCGGTTGCGCGCCGGCCAGTGCCGGCTGCTGTCGCCTGCCGTCACCTTCGTCTGCTGAGGAAGCGCCTAAGCTAGCCTTTCTTGAGAAGGTCCTCTCTCGTTCTCACGCCCTCGAGGACAAAGAGGCCTTTGAAAAAGCCGTGGTGGTGCCCAGCGACGTTTCGGCGGCGATCGATTGGATTGCTGCGCGCTCGGAGCGGCAGGTGCGCCGTGAGCGGCGAGCGACCCTCGAGCGAATTCGGACCAGGGGCGCCGAGCCACGTGCCTCTGGAGCGACGGCGGCCTGGTTTGCGGTCTGCGATGCCAATGTGCGAGCAATCACAGGGTCGATCAACGGCCCCCTTCTCGTCGAATTGCTCGACGAAATCGGCTACGAGGACGCGGCCTGCGTGGGAGTTTTTTCGGCGCGGCGCGCCCCTCGTGGGTCCGCTCCAGCGCGCCGGAAACGGGCGGCCATAATCTTTCCCTGGGCCGCTCAGCGACTCCGCCGAGATCCTCGCCAAAACTGTCGCCGAAGCGGAGCTCGGCCGAATGGGCCATCCCGCGCCGATCAGCGCGGTCGAGCTCGACAGGGCCGTTTTGACGCCGCGGTTCGGCGCCCGGCAAACGAGAGAGGGCGGCTCCGAGAAGCTGCGGCTCGTCGCCGATATGTCGCGCTCTCGCATCGACGCGGCGTCTCAGCCGACGGAGCGCCCCAGCCATGAGGCCATTGACGCTCTGTTCGGCGCTTGCAAAGCCTTTGTGGCGCGCGTGGGCGAAGCGCCCGGGCTCTGGGAGGCGGGCATTGACGCCGCGTTCCGGCGCGCGCCGCTGATGTCAGAGCATCGCGCCTTCGCGTGGGTCGCCTTCCTCGTGGGCACCTGCGTCTACGTGGCTCAGCACTTCGCCGCCGCCCCATTCGGCGCGGCTTCCTCCGGGAGCGCATCGGCGCGATGCTGACAGCGCTGGGCCGCAGGCTCCGTCTCGTTCCCGTCCTTCGATATGTGGGCGATTTCTTTTGCCCTGAATGGAAGGAAGGGCTGTGCGACGCAATGCGACAGTTCGCCGAGCTGGTAAGAATCATTCCCGGTCCGAGCGCCGTGGCCGACGGTAAGCTGCTGTTCGACAATCTGATCGGAGTCCTAGGTTTGTCTGTGGCGATTGACGAGCGAGGCCTCGTGTGTTGGCCGCTGCCGGATAAGCGCGCCTGGTGGCGCGCCGAGATCGCCGCTGCCCTTCAAGAGGGCGCGCTCGAGCGCGGGCGCGCGTCCAAGTTGGCAGGCCGCTTCTTTTGGGTCGCCTTTAACACCTTCGGGCGGTTCGGGCGCGCGCTGCTCCCGCCGTTGTTTGAGCGCGCGAGGGCGCGCCATCCGAGTATCCCAGCGCACCTGCGAATCTAGTCTGCAATGGTGGCACGAAGCGCTCGCCAGTAATTTCACCACGTCTCGCGAGTGGCAGGCGCCAGACACCAGGTCTGTACAACTGCTCTCCGACGCGCGGGGCCATCCAGCCAGGGTGGCCGCGGTTCTTTGCATTGACGGGCGTATTGTCTTCACCGATGTCGCCCCCCCTGAGCTTCTGCTTCGGCTCTTTGAGGAGAGGTGCGACAATCAAATCGGCGGTCTGGAGGTGCTCAGCATCGCGCTGGGCCTGGCCACCTTCGGGGCGCTTCTGTCGGGCCGTTGCGTGAATATCTTTTCGGATAATTCAGGCAGCGAGTGGGCCGTCCGGTCCGGTGTTGCGAAGCAGTTTGACCACGCTTGCCTGGTCCACTCAATCTGGCGGATGGCGCTGGGTGCGAATTGCAAACTACACGTTCATCGTGTGGCGTCGGTGGACAATATCGCCGACCTGCCCTCGCGCGAGTCGTACTCCCTGCTGTGTCGCATGGCGGCGGAGTGGATTCCTCCGGCGCTGGGCGATGCGTGGTTCGACCCGAGTGCGTGGCTTCTTCGTCGCCGGCCATGACCGGCTCGGGCGCCGGGCGCGTGTGCATCGTATCTGGCCTTCTCTCATCGGTCAGGGTGCGCCCGCCAGGCCGGGCGGCCTCGCGCGCGTCGCGGTCGCGCCTCGCCCTGCGTGCGCGCGCGAGCATCTGCGCTGTCGGCGCACCTTGAGAATTTCTTCGGTGTTCGCGTGATGGCGCTGGCTGGTCTGATCGCTCAGCTTCGCGTGGTTTGCCCTGAGGCACGCTCTATTCCTGTGTTCGCTGCTGCCGCGCTGCTTGCCGATGACGGCGCCGACGCCGTGAGCGATTTGGTTGACGTCGCCGTGGCAGACTTCAGTGGCGCCGCGGCATTATCTAGCGACGCCCGTGAGGTGGTCCGCGCGGCTTTCGCGGCAGCCCAGCGCGGCGGCGCGCCAGCTGCACTGCGCAGGGGCGGCAAGGGCGCCCCTCCAGCGCCCGCTCCGTCGCCCGGGATTGCCCCCAGGTCTTCTCGCGCGTTCCGCGTTCTCCCGCGGGTGCTCCGCGTCGGCCGGAGCAGGACTGGCATCGTGAGGCGGGCGCCCTCGAGCGAGTCAGTCTCGTCGTCCTCCACGGTGCGCGCGCGAAGTCGCGGCATGTCGATCGCGGCGCTAAATGCGGGCGCCAGGACAGCGGCAGGGCACATGCAGCTCCCCCGGCGGACCCTGTGTCCGCTGCCCGGTGGGCGCTCTCAATCGCCGGGCGCGAGGGTCGCCGAGACGTGCGCGGGCCGCGGGCCGAAGCTGCTAGGGCCGGAGCCCTCGTCGCATCCCCAGCGGCCGGAAAGGCGTTGGCGCGCAGGGCCCGGGTTAGCGTTCTCCTGGGCGCATGCCCGCGCTCGTTGCCCGCGCTGGATGGCATTGCACGGGGCGTCTTAAAGTGGCGTGGGAAAGAACTGCCGCCCACCCTCGAGGGGCTGCTCCTGTGGTCCGCGACCTTCAGGTGCGCCGCGCCGTCAGCAACTGCGTGACTTACGTGAGGAAGGCGTGCCTCGTGGCGAGCAGGCGCGCGCCCACCTCTCATCCTCCGGCAGCGCGCGCGTCCGCCCGCAGTGGCAGTCGGCGCGCAAGGCCCGTGGGCGTCTTCAGGCACCTGGCGGCTCGCGCTGCTAAGAACGCCATCGAGAAGCATTCGGGCTGGCAAGCGAAGGCGCGCATGGCCCTTCAGGGTCGCGACGTCGCCCGCCTGGTGTCGCACCTGCGCGTCAGTGACGAGGGTCGCCGTTTCGCCATGCTGTGCCTGGCGGCTTACGCATTCCTCCTTCGGCTATCTTCGGAGGCCCTGCCCGCGGTGCGGGTTGAAAATGGCGCGGCCGCAGCTTGCGTGGCTTCCGCGTTCGTCGTCGGCGACCAAGTGATCGAACTGCACCTCTCCAGAAGAAAGAACCGCGAGAGCCGCTCGGCGTTGGCGCGGCAGTGCTGGCGCGACGAGTGCGCGGCCACCTGTCCCGTGCACGTTCTTGGGGCCTGGCTGATTGGCGAGCCAGCTCACCAGCCCATCTGGGCTGCGCGGCCCCCCGGCGCGGCACGTGCTCGGCTGCGCCGCGCGCTGGGCGAAATAGGGCGCCATGGCGCGGAGTCATTCGGCGCTCGCGCGTTCAGGCGCGGGCGCGCGCAGGACATTGCTGCCGGGGGCGAACCAGTCACCGGCCTTCTTCGCGCGGGCGGCTGGCATCAGCCCGCGTGGATGAAATGCCATAGCGTTTCCCGGCTCGAGCGACAATCGGTCGTCGAAGCCCACTTGGCAGAGTCGTCCAGCGACGATGACGATGGCTGAGCACCCCGCGCAGTCTGGTGGTCGCGTCTGCACGGCGCACACGTGGGCGCACCCCGGCACGCGGGGGCAGCGGGTGGCAGCGCCGGGCGTGGCCCGCGGGAGCGCCGTTGCAGTGGGTGGTGCTCCCCCACGGGCCCGACCGGCGTCTGCCCGCTTGGCCTCGGAGAGGCCGCGCGCTGCGGTGCAGATGGGTCGGGTCCGCACCCTCCGCTCCTTGGGGGGGCTTCCTCCCCCCCCCCCGGGGGCCGTGCGAGGCGAGTGCAAGCGCCAGGATTTGCGGGGTCGGAATAACGGAGTTATTGCTTGGCACAAACCCGCCCGCGCTGGTAACGACCCCGCGGCTGGCCGCGGGGGCGCCCTCGCTCGGCTGGTCGGCCGCGCGCTGGCCGACCCGCTTCCGCCTCCTGCTCGCGTCGTGTGGTGCGGTGCCGTGCCGTGCTTCCTCCGCCTGGTACTGGGGCGGGGTATAAATACCGGGATATAAATACCGTGCCGTGTGTCGGGTTTCGGCCCTCCGCCCGCTGGGGCTTCGTTCGGCCCATAGTGGCTTAGTTCGGCCCATAGTGGCTTCGTTGCGGCCCATAGCGGCCTGCTGCGTTCCCTTGCCCAATGGGGCCCTCTCGTCAAGTCCAGATCGTGGTCAACAAATTGCGATCTCCCCTGCAGCATAACACCTTTTCCGGGGCTGGTCGCTGGCACATGCCCACCCACCATATCGCCTGGGCCACCGCTCCAGATGGACCGAAATTGCCAGGCAAGCTAAGCTGTCCAAGGGGGGTGGTGCTCCCCCACGGGCCCGACCGGCGTCTGCCCGCTTGGCCTCGGAGAGGCCGCGTGCTGCGGTGCAGACGGGTCGGGTCCGCACCCTCCGCTCCTGGGGGAGGCTTCGTCCTCCCCCCCCCAGGGCCGTGCGAGGCGAATGCAAGCGTTTTTTTTTTTTTTTTTTTTTTTTTTTTTTTTTTGTTTTGTTTCCTTTGTCTCTGATTCTTCTTCTTCTTTTTTATATGATTGTTCGTCTTCTTCTTCTCCTCATTATTAGTTGTATTCTTTACCTTCTTATTCGTATTCGTTAACACTTATTCTTATGCTTATTCTTTTCAATCATATTCGTTAACACTTGTTCGTTAACACTTATTTATTATTAGCATTATTATAATTTTTTATTATTATTATTTTTATTGCTATAATTATTAGTATTATTGTTACTACTATTATTATTATTATTATTATTATTATTATTATTAGCATTCTTATTTTTTATTTCAATGCGTCCCTTGCTTCCCCCTGGGCCGCGCAAGTGCCTCTGGCCATGATCTGCGCCTCCCCTCTTGGGCGCCCCCCTCTTGGACGCCCCCCGAGAGGGGGGCCCGCGCCGTCAGCAGAAAGCCAGGAGGTCGGGAGTCCGGGCCCGGGAAGGGTCGGATGCTGACAGATCGCGGGCAGCTCTAGGGGATAGGGTTGTGTCGGGCGTGTCCCCCTACAGGGGGCTTTTCGACGATAAAATAAAGAATACCCAACAAATATTCCAAACTGGTCAAACAATATTCAAAAAATAGTCCCCGGACTATTTTCTGACTATTTTTGAATTTTCCTCCTGTAGAGGAACGGGCCCGAGTTAAGGATAGGGCTCAGGGAAGTTCTGGCTCAGGGGAATTTCGGCTTCGAGGTTCGAGGTTTTCGGGCGTTTTCGTAGGTTCTCGGTGGTTTTCTGGCCTCGGGATGTTTCCCAGCAGCTGCACCTCGCCGAGCTGCTTTCGGGCCCCTGGGTGGTCGGATGCTGATGGATCAAGTCAACTTTAGGTGGGGGTAGGCTCTTGGGGGGATGCATCGGCCCCCAACTTGGAGCCGGATGGGGATCTGAGGTGGCCCAGCACTGGATCTGGCGAGCAGGAAGGGGGGGGCGAGGTTCGAGATTCTAGGCTCCACTAGGCTTTTTGTCTTTTGTAATCCCCTGGGGGCCGTTTTCGGGCCCCTGGACCGTCAGACACGGGTCCGGGCTGAAACTTTGCACCAGATGGACCCCTGGATGGGGTCCTGGGACCGATTCGGAACGGGTTTGGCGTCACCTCCCCCCTGGCCGATCTTCTGGGGCCCCAACCAGTTCAGAACCCGTGGCCGCCTCCAACTTCGGGGGATGCATCGCTCCCCGAATCGCCCATTCATCGCCGATGGGGGCCTGGTAGCCCACCCCGCCCAGGACCGTGCGAGTTCGCCACGGAGGGCCTGCTCGCCGATCTATCGGCGATGTATCGCCGATTGAAGCTCGATGCTCCCCCCCCCCGCCTCCCCTGAGTCAGTCCCCCCTTGTCGTTGCCCCTCAATAGAGCCCCCAACCCGGCCAAGCCGATCAGCGAATTGCATTTTTGGCGTTTGTCGACGGGTTGTCGTGGCCGCAGGTTTTGCGGGCCTGCGCCCGCGAGGCCGCCAGGTCTGGTCCTCGGCAGGTTTCGCTGAAGGTTGCTTTGCTAAGAGGGGATCTGCCCTCCCCCCGAAAGGGCACCAGCAACAGGACGCAGCGTACACTAAAAACGTACCTTAAGAAGTCTTGCTGTAATGCATCCGAGGGGCACATTCTTCGTCGATCCTTGAGGGTCACGAGGGTGGTCCCAGAGCTTCTGTGGGTCCCTGGGGCGATCGGCGGATACGACATTTCCGTGGGGCACCACCTGGAAGGCTGATCTCTTATCTGATGTGCTTAACTCTATGTAGTCCTGTGGCGACTGGGTTGGCCACCCGTGAAGGCGGCCACTATCGGTCAAACACGTGGCCGCGATACAGCGGGTGACGTCGAGTCATGCCGACGGCAGTCGAGTGCAGGCTTTGACAAGCAGGAGCCTGGTTGGCAGCCAGGCGTCATCGGCGTCAGTGGCGTCAGGTTGCTTCCCGTGGGGGCAACCCAGATCTCCGACAGTAATATTGCTAAGACCCTACGGCCAGTGCTGCCGACCCTGGACGACGACCTCCACGATTGAAGAGGCATTTGGGAAGGTCGGGATCAGACGCTCCAAGAGTGCCCAAGAGGCTACACGAGGCCCTCAAGAGGTGCACAAGAACCCCCGCAAAGTTTTGGGGATGTCTTGGGAGCCTTGAGTGGGCCTCCTGGGGCTTCCTGGCGGTTCCTTAGGGGCGCCTGGGGGCCTCGTGGGGGCCTCTGGGGGGGCCTCTGGGGCCCTGGGACTCCCAGGGGATGTTATTCCGATCTGGGACCGCCCCTGGGGACCACCCCGTGGGACCACCTCCCGGGATCCAACCCGGAACCCTCCCTCCCCCGGCGGGGAAGGGATCAACGAGAAGGGGCTTCCGTTTCACTCAGTTGCGATGTAGCTCAGTTTTGCTTAGGCTGTTCCGCTTTGGCTGGCGCGCTTTGGGAGGAGGGTCCAGGGAAAGGGTGGAGCGGCGACGGCGGCAGCGGTGGCGGTGGCGGTGGCGGTGGCGACGGTGACGGCGACGGCGACGGAAACGGCGACGGCGACGGCGGCGGCGGTGGCGACGGCGACGACGAGTGAAACGAAACGGCCCCTCGCACACGCCGACAGGGTCGGCGGATTTGTTTCAACCCACAAGTCTTTACACATCTCTGCCTCTGGGGGGCGTGTTCGGGCCGGGCCACCAGAACTGGATCCAGGGCGAAAAATTGGCCTCGGGGAAGGGGTGGCAACTGCATAAGAACTCACATGAGTTGAAGGTCTCAGGGGACTCCCTGTTAGACCCGTTGCCGTTCTGGCTCAAGGTATTCCAGGTCCAGGGGTGAACCGCCGAATCTTCGGTTGGTGAATTCAGCTTCTCGATTTCATCATCCATAAGTGGTTGGTCTTTTCGCAGGGCTACCTGCAATGGCCGTTTTTCTTGCCGCGCTGCTGTGGCCCGTCGTACTATGTGGAGCAAGTAAAACCGTGTCAATGTCTGTGGATACCAGTGGCAATGTTCTGCCAGCGTCATCCGTGATGCGTGCCGGTATGAGGACAGAGAAAGGAGCTCACGACCGTGCTGTAGATGTGCAGGGAGGTCAAGAGATGACAAGTTCAACGGCAACTACGACCATTCCAAGTTATTGCTTGCCATGTCCCGACATTCCCGACAACAGGCCGCCTTATTGCAATACTGGTGCAGCGTATCTTGTGGAGAGCAAGGCGACGATGCGCAGGGAGGCCAAACAACGACCACGAGTGTTGAATACCACCGCGACATCTCATGGCATCATTGACCTCCAGCCATCAACTGCGGCGGCGTCCGCGTTGATGGCAGGCGCGGGCGGGGAAAGCGACGACGCCGTTATCGAGAGCATGACGGCGCTTCCCAGCAGGTTGGCCGTGGAATCGTTATGGTCGCGCGTCCAGTCGAAGCACCCAACGACCTGTGATCCCCAGATCGTCCAGCAGGAGTGCGACCGGATTGACGCCGAGGACTTGGCGAACATCTTGCAGCTGCCCGAGCGCGCGGTGCACGACTTCTTCGCCCAGGCAGGCCTCGCGGACCCGGGCGCAGAGGAGCCCAAGTGCCAGGATGTCTGCCAGGCTGCCCTGCAGGCAGTGCCAGCGCGGAATCGCCCCCCGCTGCATTACGTTGCAGCGCAGCAGATCACACCGGAGGGCGACATCGAGTGGGCCGTCGACCTCACCCCGCTCGACCTGCGCGCGCCGGACAGGCGGGTCCGATCGCGGAAGAGCGGCGACCCCAGGCAAGAAAAGGAGCATGATGTGGACGACGTTCATGATGTTCTTGGCACCCCTGCTGACGCTCAGGCGATGCCCTCGTTCGATCGACAGGGCGCGACCTCAACCCTCGAAGTCGCGACCCGGGTCTGTGAGATGTTCCACATGTATCCATGGTCGAGCCCGGCGGGGGTGAGCAGCTTCCTCGACGATGCCGGGAATGCCACACGACACAACGCCGACGCCGAGCCGATCCCAGATGGCAATGGGATGTTTACGATTTGTTCATACCGGGGGGGGTGCAACGGCCTCGCCAAAGCGTCGAACTGCAAATGGAGCCTGCCCAGCACCTACTTTCCATGTTGCCGCTGCTGGAGAAAGCCGAACTGGAACTCAGAGATCAATATGCTTTGGGGCCATGCACGCACCGCGGTGCTATATGCTGTCTGGCGCTTGCCATCTCTCGAAGCGGCAAAGGGGCGGCTGGTTAAGAAATTCTTCGGGTTCGAGTATACCAGAACTCTTGGCTGGTGGCCCACTGAAGAGAAGAAGAGAGCTGTTGCGAACACCCAGATGCTCGATTGGTGGGTGCAGTTAATGTGGTGGAAGATTAACGATGAGTCTGTGACGTTCTGCTACGATGCGGCAAGTGACCCGCCTGGAATTTCGTGGGGCATGGCGTGGGGAAGCAAAACTGACAACAGGATCGCGTTTACTAAGGACGGGTGGTTCGGCGGGCCAGACTGGGAAAGAGTCAGGTCAATGCTGCACGAGTACTACCATGTCCTGGGGCCGAAGCACGGCGAGCCGATCCTAATGTGGGGCACCAACTACACGGGCCCCCTTGTGAATGCCTTCAAGATGGATTGTTACCTCCTTAGCCTGTTAGAGGAAATGAACATCCTTCAATCTGGTGGGCGCTGCAGAGAGCTGCAGGATGATGGGCTGTACGGGTGAGGCTACCTGCGGACACATGCCGTACGGGGCGGAAAGCGATCGCGCTTTCCTGCCTTACGAACGTGGCACCTTTGCGCGCCCTGACCTCCCAGTTTCCTCCCTCCTCCTCCTCCTCCTCCTCCTCCTCCTCCTTGTACCTTCTCACTCCCACTTTTGCTCAGCTGACCGCGCTTGCGCTCTTTTGTGTAAGTCCGACTGGGGGCACGCCTTTGCAGAAAAAAAAACGGGACTTCCCGCTAGAGGTTCGCCCGAAGCACGTGAGCAAGCATCGTAGCACGGCCTTGCGTAGCTCTACGCTGGTTGGTTTGATACAATAACGTGTCTGGCACCCGCTTGCCATTCCACGTGCATGGTCTTCGAGGAACCGGCTGCACAGTCGCCCGACGCGTCTCTGCAGCAAGCTCGCGTGGTCGTCCTCGTCCGCCTCCTCCGCTCTCTTCCTCTCTTCTCTCTCCTCTCTCCTTCTCTCCCCGCCTCTCTCCTGTCCTCCTCTTCTCTTTCTCCTCCTCCTCTCCTCCGCAGTTGCACATTCTGAATACTACCCTCCTCTCTCGCCTGACTCTGACTGTCCAGACGATATCCCGCCCTCTCTGTGTATCTGTTTACTTGACAACGGTTTCGTATGCGATTTTCCAATCCGATCCTTTTTCGGTTCTTCAGCATGGTGCTCCTGCTGCAGCGCTGGTCTCATTTCTGCGCGTCCGCTCCTTCAGATTCATGCTTCCGCTACAGCGCTGGCCTCACTTCTGCGTTTTCGGTCCTTGGGAAGGGTGCCCTTGCACCACCGGCCTCACGTCCGCGTTCTCGGTCCTTCAACATGTGGCTCTCGCTGCAGCGCCAGCCCCACCTCCAAAGTGTTGGTCTCCTCCAGCATGGTGTTCTGGCGGCACCGTGCTGCACCCCTCGAGTAGCCATGGCATGCAATGCAATGCAGTGCTATGTTGTGTGCCGCTATGCGATTCCATGGCTTGCTCTGTAATGATCTGATGTGCAATCCTGGGCTGCGCGGTGCCATGCCATGCTAGTGTCCCGTGCCCTGCCGTGGTATGCCATGCGATGCTATGTTTCCAGCCGCAATGCGATGCCATGCCTTACGCTGCAATGCTATGATATGCAGTGCTTGACTACGTAAGGCAGCACCATGCTACGTTCTGCCGTGCTTTCCTACGCCGTGCTGTGCCATGCCATGCATCGCGTGTCCTTTGGAGACCATTGTCATCTTTGACGTCCACTGTGCGAACAGAGAAGGGCTCCACGCAAGGGTACGGGATGGAAGGGAGGAGTGGGGCGTCAGATAGGACGCAAGCGTACCTAGCTTGTCCTCTCTCCTCTCACCTCTCTCCTCTCTTCCCCCCTTTTCTTCTTTTTCTTCTTCCTCCTCCTCCTCCTCCTCTTCTCCCTCTTCCTCTGTTTCTCTTTCTCTCTCCTTTCCCTTCTCTTCTCTATCCTGTTCTCTCTCCTTGTCGACTCCTATCTCTCCCGCTTTCTCTCTCTCTCTCTCCCTCTCTCTCTCTCTCGGAGGAGGAGGAGGAGGAGGAGGACCAGGAGGAGGATGAGGAGACAGCAGGAGTAGAAGGAGGACAAGGAGTAGAAGGAGGACGGGGAGAACCAGCAGCAGCAGCGACGACATCAGGATCGAGATGATTAAGCAACCTGCCACTGTCGCTGCTACTGCTGCTGCTGCTCCTCCCTCATCTGTGCGCCTCCGCCACCGGCGCTCGGCGTCCTCCTCTTCCTCGCCGATCCCGCGCTGCTCCGGCTCCAGCGGCAGCGGGCCTGGTGCCGGCCCCGTGGGCCGATGCGCCGCAGCCGCCTGCCCTGCTCGCCCCTCCGGAGGCGGAGAGACTCGAGCAACCAGCACAAGATAGACGTACGCACGGTTCATTTCTGATTCTTCGAAAATTCCTGGATTTTTTGGTGGCCAGGATCCTTTCACTTCTAAGTATTCCATCCCGGGCCTCTTCCTGGCCACTGGGGGGCCAGGAACAGTTAGAAACGAGCACCATTAGAAATGAGCACGATTAGAAATGAACGACGTGTAAACTTTCGGAAGCAAGTTCCGTTTTCTCGGTGCCGCGCCGAATCCCCTGACGGCACCTCCCGCGACGGCCCAAACATCCCGCTCCGATCTCCGACGCTGCATGTTTTCGCAGGTCTCTTTCCGATTCTAGGAGTCGCCTTCGTACAGGAAGCCCCTCAGCAGCGAGCGTGGCTCCTCGGCAAGCGCGAGAGCCAGACATGTGGGATCGTCGGTTCCCGGGCGGCTGGATCTGCAGGGCTTCTCATGGTCAGTTCACAGTCAGGGCCGCCTCCGATCCGATTCGATGCGATTCGATTCGCTCGCTTGGGCCGCGACTCGGATTCAGCTCGAAGCACCAGCACCGGCCAGAGCCAGCCAGCCAGCCAGCCAGGCGCGGCGTCCGATTCCGATCCTATGCGGGACGATCTGTCGGCGATCCGACCCGTCGCCGATCCGCTTCGATTCGCGCTTCGATGAAGCTCAGGCCTGGTGGTCGGAAGCTGCGATCTGGCTGCCGATGACTCCCGCGCAGCGCACGGGTCTGGGGTTCCCTTGCCTGGGCCCCCTGGCGCTCTGGCGGCCCCCCCCCGCGCCTGGGGCCCGGGGGACCTTCGGTGTTCGATCTCCTGGCTCATCTCTGCCCGGAATGGGCGTGGGCGCAGGGTTCACCCACAGGTGTCCCGCTCGTCCTCCAGAGCCATGGCTGAAGCCAGGGGAGAGGGCAGTGCTTTTCCAAGCAAGTGTATCGCGCGCGTGCCCGCTCGAGGAAAAGCGCGCCCTCCACATCGGATCCTCGATGAAAAGCGGGGTCCGGTGCGGAGAGTTTTGAGTAGGATTCTGGAACAATAGCGGAGTATGGATGCTAAACAATTGATCAGGAACTGAGCCAAACTTGCTTTTGTGTGTCACTCGAGGAGGTGAATCCAATTTGATGTTCGTTGTGTGTGTGTGTGTGGGTGCGGGACACCCGCTCATAAACTTTTACCAATACCAGGATGCGGAGGTCCCAGGAGGCCCAGGGAGCGCGGACCCAGCGCAATTTGCGAGTGACTGGCCCCGGGAGCGCGGAGCCAGCGTAAGTTCCAAGGGATCGTGGTGTCAATTGGAGCGACCACCAGTCCAGCTTCATTTACGTAGCACCCCGCAGATGCGGATAAGAGTGAGGGGGTGGTGGGGACGTCGGCGGTTTGCGAGACTCTGGAGAAGCCCGCCGCCGGCGCCAAAGTTTCACAAATTATACAACGAGTCCGCCGCAGGCGCTGATTTTTTCTTTACACCCACCAATGTTGGTAGGTCGCGGGTGGGTCGCTGTTGGGTCGCGAGTGGGTCGAGGATGTAGAGGGCAGTAAACTCTCTTTTCTAAAAAGAGAATAGACTCTACCCCCCCCGGCGTTATCGGTCCCCCTTTCGGGTATGTAAATCATATAACATTATGACCACATGTCCATCCTACATATGAATTTACGCTATCCCCGGGGAGCTGGTATCGGCCCCCCTGAGGTTCCCTGGTAAAAAAAAAAAAACAATTCGCGGGGACATTTTTTGCTCTAGCATAAGACTTTTTCACGAATCCCTTGCAAAAATTTGGACGAAGTGCACACGCGCGCGTCGTCGCGCGCGCATGCCGAAATCCTTCAAAAACCTTCGGTGTCGGAGAGATTTCGCAATCAAGTTTCCAAACAACATACAATTATCCTGGCGAAGGACCCAACCATATGCAATTGTGAATACTGCAATTGTGAATATCTTCTCGGTGGAGCCCCCTACGGGGCCACGAAACGTACGAGGGGTGTGCCGAAATGGGTGTGCGGGACGCATGCGGGCACAACCACTGGGGCCTTCGGTGGAGCTCTCTATGGGGCCAAGAAGCGTGTGAGGGGTGTGCCGAAATGGGTGTGCGGGACGCATGCGGGCACACCCACTGGGACCTTCGGCGGAGCTCCCTATGGGGCCACGGAACGCGTGGGGGGCGTGCCGAAATGGGTGTGGCTGACGCATGCGGGCGCGGGCACTGGGGCCTTCGGCGGAGCTCCCTATGGGGCCACGAAACGTGTGAGGGGTGTGCCGAAATGGGTGTGGCTGCCGCATGGCGGGCGCGGGCACTGGGGCCTTCGGTGGAGCTCCCTATGGAGCCACGAAGCGTGTGAGGGGTGTGCCGAAATGGTGTGGCTGACGCATGCGGGCGCGGGCACATGGAGCTCCCTAGCCCGAAGCGTGTGAGGGGTGGAGCTCCCTATGCGTGGGGGTGTGCCGAAATGGGTGTGGGTGACGCATGCGGGCGCGGGCACTGGGGCCTTCGGTGGAGCTCCCTATGGAGCCACGAAACGTGTGAGGGGTGTGCCGAAATGGGTGTGGGTGACGCATGCGGGCGCGGGCACTGGGGCCTTCGGTGGAGCTCCCTATGGAGCCACGAAACGTGTGAGGGGTGTGCCGAAATGGGTGTGGGTGACGCATGCGGGCGCGGGCACTGGGGCCTTCGGTGGAGCTCCCTATGGAGCCACGAAACGTGTGAGGGGTGTGCCGAAATGGGTGTGGGTGACGCATGCGGGCGCGGGCACTGGGGCCTTCGGTGGAGCTCCCTATGGAGCCACGAAACGTGTGAGGGGTGTGCCGAAATGGGTGTGGGTGACGCATGCGGGCGCGGGCACTGGGGCCTTCGGTGGAGCTCCCTATGGAGCCACGAAACGTGTGAGGGGTGTGCCGAAATGGGTGTGGGTGACGCATGCGGGCGCGGGCACTGGGGCCTTCGGTGGAGCTCCCTATGGAGCCACGAAGCGTGTGAGGGGTGTGCCGAAATGGGTGTGGGTGACGCATGCGGGCGCGGGCACTGGGGCCTTCGGTGGAGCTCCCTATGGAGCCACGAAACGTGTGAGGGGTGTGCCGAAATGGGTGTGGGTGACGCATGCGGGCGCGGGCACTGGGGCCTTCGGTGGAGCTCCCTATGGAGCCACGAAACGTG